TTCAGATGGTGTCTGGGCTGCACTTGTGTGATTGGTCTATGAGACTCCATTCCTTGAGGGCAGAGACTGTCTTGTGTCTCTCTGTACCCCAGTGATTATCTCAGAGCCTGGAAATGACTAAGTAGCCACAAGTGTTTGCAGAATGAATAACAACACTGGGAGAGATGAGCAATTGCCCTGTTGTTGGAACTGAAAGCAGAGGATATGAGGTGGGCCTGGAGAGACAGGCCAGAGTCGGAGAGGAAGGGCTTTGCAGGCCGAGTGAAGAAGATTCAAAAAATATATATAGCTCCGTAACCATACCTATATCTGAATCTATATAATCGCTACATATCCATATCTGTATCACCTATACCTATATGTCCATATCTATATAGTCTCTATATATCCACCTTCATATCTATATCTTTATCCACATCTATGTGGATAAAGACTGCCCTCTGACAGGGCAGGAAGCTGTGGTCATCGGCTGACGAGAGAGGCTGAGGGCTGAACTGGAGACGTGACCAGCGTCCCACGAGACAGAACCGTCCCTGTGGTCTCCGCAGGATTTGGGATTTGTAACTAATGGGATGTGGAGGCTGAGCAAGAGAGCTTCTGCAGGGTCTCAGGGTGGGTGACAGGGTGGACACTGCGCTGGTCACACACATCAGGAGGCTGTGCCTGGAGCCAGCACTATAAACTATGCTGTGGGCCTGCTGAGTTTGGAGTCCAAGTGGAAACAGCCGGCAGTCGGCTCGAAATTCAAGTCTAAAGCTTAAGGGAGAGGTTGGGGCCGGAGAGCTCAAACCCCTTCAGCTGTAATAGTCTGTGATTTTTTGAGCCAGGAGAGGGAATCATTCAGGCTTAACCAATCTACCAAAGCTCCGTTTTCTCCTGGCTCTCATCTGCAGGGCGCATGTAGAACCAGCCTGTAGCCAGCAGGGGGCAGCAACTGCACAGCGGAGCTTGCATTTCGGAACCCAGCAAGGGATTACAAGCGCCAGCAACCTCAGGAATTTACTTTCTGAGATTTGAGAACCATCATTAATTTATAAAGCTAAAAACATTAAGGACGTTCCTTTACCTAAGAAAGGGAAATGCTCTTTGGTCTGTTGCCCATTTCAGTTTATACCTAAAACATGAATTTGGTTTCAGGCGGGCTCAAGGATGGAAGCCNTCCAGCTCATCCCCAGGCAGGCAGACCTGAATGAGCTCAGCAGCCGGCTTCCTCCTTTTCTCAAAGTGCTTCTGACGATGTTGCTCTTGCACCTTGAGTGCCAGCCCGGACCCCAGGATGCCCTGGAGGGAGAAGTCAGGCTCTGAAGTCAGCCCCGCCCAGGCTCTCCCAGCACCCCACCCCCACACCTGGGAAAAGAACGACCACACTGAGCGAAGGGGAGACCAGGAGGGCCTGACTACCACTTCAGCGGCACTCTGCTTGGCCACTTCCTGACTCTGCCACTTTCAAGCTGTGAGATCCTGGGCAACCCTTTTATCTGCTGCAGCTCAGTTTCCTCCACACGGAAGTGGGATGATAGTGTACACCTCATAATTGTGTTAAAGAACAAGTGAAATAATGTATAGGAACTGCCCAGGAAGGGGTAGGACACAGACTCGATGCCCAGGAAATGTTCATGGAATTTTACAAACGTCACGGCTTGAATTGTCACTTGAGACTTTGACTATAGCTGGAATTGCCCAGAAGTGTAATCTGTTTTGATTTCCAGGTCAGACCTGCTTGTGGATTAAATGAATAGAAGTATATAACCTTTTCAACTTGAAAGAGAACTTCAGAGACCATATCGCACCCCCTACAGCCCCTCACCTATTAACAGTGCAGGAAACTGAGATTCACAAAGGTCACATGCCCAAGGTCAAACAGTTCAGAAAACAGCAGACAAGGCAGGGTGCACAATGGAAAAAGAACACTCCCACTTTCAGGATGGGAAGTGAAGTGGGCACAAGTGGATTGTTACAGCACAAGGTTCTTTCCAAGCTTCATGGTTAAGAGCCAGGCTACAGAACCAGCAGACCGGGGACCCCTGGGTCCACAACCCAATAGCCCACCACTGCGAAAACTTTACTAACCCAATGAAGCCTCTGTTTTCCCATCTGGAAAATGAAAATTAACACAGCACCAACCTCCTACTGTCATCATAAAGATGAAACCAGATGATGTTAGCAAAGCATCCGGTATGATTCCAGCTCGCAGTAAGTTCAACAGGTGCCATCTATTATTTTAATACTACACTTATGGGCACTGGGTTTGGGGGTACTTATTTTATCAGGGGTTAAGACTCACTCTTGAAGGAAATGCATTATTTTATTTTTTTTTACATAAGCCAGGAAATAATAGGGCACGGGAAGGGAGCTCACATATACGAAGGACCCACTATGTGCAAGAAATACATGGTTAAAAGATGTCAACCCAGCCTGCGAGGAGCTCACAGTCTCCCGTGGAGGCAGATACAGGGCTGTGCAATCCCAGCATGGGGTCCGAGGTGCACGAAGGAGGGAGCGACCAACTCAGCCTGAAGAAGACAGCACTGAAACGGGGTCTTGGAGGAGATGTCTCGAGGAATCACTCCTGGCAAAGGGACCGGCACAGCCCGCGGAGGAGAGGCAGGCCACCATGCTTAAGGGGATGGCGGTTGCACTGATAGGGCTGGAATGCAGGGTATGAGAGGAGGGAAGACGAGGCTGGGGCCAGGCAGTGAGGGCCCTGCCTGTCACACTGGGGGACGCATCAGAGGTACTCACCGCTGGAAGGGCAAAAAAGGAGACGCCGATTAAGGAAAAGGTGGCTGCGATGAGACGGCCTTCCCATGTTTTGGGAGTCTTGTCTCCGTAGCCAATGGTGGCCAGTGTGATCTGGAGAGAGAAGAGTTCAGACGTGGGGCTTCCCGGGGAGCGGGAATTCAGGGACGTATCCGGGGAGCTCCACCTATCAGCCTCTGTATAACTGGGGGGCTGCTCCCATTTAGAACAAGACTCCCCCGGGGGGAAAGCCACCAAGTCTCAAGGGATGGATATGGGAACCTTCAGACCACACCTGTTTCTGAGTTAAGGATTTCCCACTTATCGCCACTCACTCAGCAAATATTTCAATAATTGGCGATCGTGTATGTGCATGGATCTACACTCGTGTGTGTATTTGCATGTGTGCTATACATGATCTGTGTATAGCCATGGTTCTGAATATATATGTGCTTGTATTTGTATGTGTTGTGTGCATATGTGCGCACGTCTAATGTCTGGTGTGTGTTGTATGTTCCTGTGTGTGTTTACATGTGCAGGTCATCAGTACACATGCACTTATCCGAGCAGTTAAGAGTGTAGCCTCTGCAGCCCAACGGCCTGAGTTCAAATCCCAGGTCGACCACTAACTGGCTCAGCAGTCTTCCTTGAATTAGTTACTTCAGCGCTTCATGCCTCAGTTTCCCCATGTTTAAAAAGGGCCTAATAACAGGAGTTGCTTGAATGTAAACTGTGTTAACAAGTGGAAAGCGCTTAGAGCAGTGCTCTGGAGCCAAGAAAGCCTTCAATAAATGCTAGTTTTAGCATAATATGAATACCACGTGTCCTGGGGGTGTGCGGGGATGTGTCTGCAGGTGCGTTTGAAGGTCTGTGTGCACTCATGTGCATCCACCACTGTGAGTGTTTGTACGTGTACGGTTTGGCTGGGGACAGCCTACAGCTAATGAGATAAGGTCCCCTGGCTGACCACGGGTCCAGCCTGTTCAGAGCCCTGATTTCTCATAAACACTATGGAAAAGCCTGTTCCAAGTGCCTACTCTGTGGGGGGAGTCTCCCAGGGGCAGGTTCGGGAATGGAGGAAACCTAGCTCTCACCCATGCCTGCAGAATGCAGCTGCCCAGCTGAGCTGCCCATAGCCCACCCTCGTTCTCTCTCAGTCACAACAATCAGTCCCCATGGGGACAAGGAGGGTCTTCAAGAGGGTGACTCACCAGGCCCCACCAGAGGGCATCTGCATAGGTCTCAAACTCCTCTTTGATCTCTTCTCCTTGGGCGTCTACCTCCGGCACGTCTTTCTCAACCAGGTAGACAAGAAACGAAGAAAGGATGAGAGTCAGGAACCCAATGTACCAGGCGGTGATGAGCTCCTAGGAGAGCAAGGAGTGGACAAGGGAAGTGGTCACTGGAAGCTCATAGGGTGGATGCTGGAGGCAAGAGTCCAGGTTTACCAGCTCTGTGACCACGGGCACGTTGCTCACCTTCTCTGGTCCTCACCTCCCCTCACTGTAAAATGGGGTTAGTAACATGGTCATGATTGTCATCATTAACAGAAAGGGTCTAGGAGGAGAGGAGGATTTCTGTCTTATGGTGATCTTGCTACTGTAGCTCAGGAGGCTTCACAGGGAGGCAAGAAGGCAGAGGGACCTGGCCACGGCCTCTGAGACAAGGCTCCGGACTCAGGAGGCTTGGTTCTGTGCAGGACTGGGCAGGGCAAGGAGAAAACTCAGCTCTATTGGGAAACTGACAGCAAGCGGGAGCCAGTGTGGTGCTGTGGACAGAGCTGTGGACACGGCCCCAGCCCTTCCACCGATGGACTGTGACCCTGGACAAATGACCCCTCCCCCTCAGCCTCGGTTTCCTCATTTTTAAAATGAAGGAACTGGACCACAGAGCTCCGGACAGTGCCATATGTACAACTGGTGAAATGCTCACAGATCGTTTTTATGGGAGTCACGTGTTGATGTAAACCATATTAAAAATTAGCATAAATAACATGTACAACCCATTGTGTCACTCGATAGACGAGGACCCATGAGTAAGTAAGTAAGTAAGAGAAAGTTGATTGGAAGAGAAACGTGAAGGAACAGTAAGGATGGTGCCACGATATGGCAAAGATTGGCATCACTGAAGTTTCAAATGTCCTGACCACGACAATCCCTAAGGCTCTATTTATCTCATTCTGTTCCAGGTTCGAGGTGGAGAATGACAGTCTGGGCAAGAAGACAGTCAAGGTTATTGGTGCACACGACCCGGAGATTAGGCCTGTCAGTCCGGCTGCGTCGCCACAGAGGACAGAGTAGCCCATATCAATACACTTCATCTATCTGGCTGCCTGGGCGGTCAGGTGGTCTTCTGGGTTAATAGCATCTCACTGACGGGTTGCATCCTCCTCCCTCTGTGCCTCTGCTGACGAAGGTCTTGCTGCCTGAACTTCCCTTCCCCATGGGGCCAACCAGAGCATCATCGAGTCATCTTCAGACTCACAGCACCTCCTGGATGAAATTTCCCTGGATGTTTGCTCCCCCAACTAGAGACAGGGTTCATCTCTAGTTCCTTTCTGCCACTGCCCTTTTCTAATCAGACTTCTCTACATCCCTAACACTTCATTATGTTCATGTGCCTATAGGTCTGGCTTCCCCACAGCCTCTTATGCACAATGCATTCGTGTGAGTTCACTCCACAGCAGAGAGAGACAGGTTAGTGTTCATGGCACAGGCGATCCGTCCAGCCACGCCCCTCTGTGAGTGTCTGCCCTGCAGGGGACTTGAGAAGGGAACCGTGAATTGAATCATCCCTTCCCAGTGGCTGGCTGAGCGTGAGCCTCTCGCCTTGTTTGGTGCGGGTCTAGCGTTCCCATGTGTTTTCTTAACCTCTGGTCCTCACATGCGGGGCAGTGCTTAATGAAAGAAACAGCTGTCTGTTCATGTGTGCACATGAAAACTGGCTGCATTGGATTATTAAGAGGCGATATAGTGGTCACCAATGAGGAGTGAAAATGTGTCCCAATTCTGTGCTTTGCAGTCATTTAAAAGGCTATTCCAGGTAATTCTGACCTTACCCAATTTTTGCCAGCGGCTCTGTGGCTGTTCCCTAATATCCACAGGCGCCTGCACACGCCTGAGCCCCACTGTGGTCAGGTTGGGGTTGGGGCACGGGGGTCTAGCCAATGTGGGGAGTGATGGAAGCAACTTCCTGACTGTTCCTTAAATCCATTCTACAGGATGCGGCAGGTCCCTCGTCCTTTGCCTTGGTGACTCAAGACTCATTTTCAAGACGAGGGCCACCCAGGCCACATCAGGTACCGTGTGAATGAGAAGATGGCAGTATTTTTGTGCTCGGTCACAGAGACCCCAGGGCTCCTATCCTAAGCTGAAAAGTCTAACTCTGCGTAACATGGGTCTCCCGCTCTTCATCTCTGGGCTCCCCTGAACAACACCCGCCCTGGGGGTCCTTCACTCTGATTTCTCCCACACTAGTCTCCGAGGGGTTTTTCCTGCCTGAGCTGAGGCACAAGGTTCTCCTTCATGCTCTAGGGTTCAGCTAAGGCAGGGATGTCAAAACAAAGTGGTACCAAAGGTTTGGGCTAACCATAGGAAGTAGCATCATGGAGCCAGATACGCTGGGCCCTGCCTGCGTCAGGTGCCACACCTGCTCAAGCACACAGGAGGGGATCACACCAAGTCCCACCTGTCCTAGCTTCTGACCTCCTCCCACGGAGCGCTAGGTTGTCACCATGATCAGCAGCAAATCACTGACCCTGGGCTCTGGAGCCCGACTGCCTGGGCGTGTGCCCCACGGGGTGACCTTGGGAAGGTTACTTCCTCTTCCAGTATCTGCTTCCTTGTCAGTGTAATGGGGAAACGACAGTGCCCCCCTTTTGGAGCGAGCCAATCCATGTTCTAGGGACTGATCAATAGTAATTGAACAATCGCTATGACCTGGGCGTATTCTAAGTGCTTTTCTCCTGAGGTGAGTGCATTATTCTTCTCGTTTCATAAACGCAGGAACCAAGACCCAGAGAGGTCACAGAACATCTCCAAAGTCACGGCAGTCGAGTTTGCATCCAAACCAGTCTGCGTGGCTCCGGAACCTTCCCCTCCCACAACACTTGCTCGCTGCCTTGCATTTGCGCGTTTCATCCTCTCAGCAACCCAGAGGGATAGGCATTATTATCCCTGTTTTTAAAATGAGGAACCTGAAGGTCAAACAGGGTTGAGCGACAGGTCATTTGCAGCTCATGGAGCTGAGACTTGAGCCCGGGTCCACCCATTTCTGCTCCCTGCAGCACACCTGCTTTTACGCCCCTCTCCCTCTCCCTGCTCCTCTCCCTGTCATCAGTGCTGGCAGAACGACCACCCTCTGGCGACACCACATGGGAGGGGATTAGGGCACAGGTGGGTGAGAAGCCCACGTGGTCCCATGGCTTCTCCGTGGCACCTACTTTGCTGTGGGCGCAGATGGCGGAGCCCAAGAGCTTCCAGGTACCGCCCCTGCGGTCCATCCGGAGCATGCGCAGAATCTGCAGGAAGCGCAGGCTCCGCAGGGAGGTGGCCAGGACATTGCCCTGGTTGCCCACGGCGACCACGGGCACAGAGGCAATCAGCACGAAGATGTCTGGAAAAGGGGAAGACAGAGGGCCAGTGACCAGTGCTGACCGGACCTGCAGTGGACTCATCCCAGGCACTGTCTGCCAGCCCACGAGCGCAGGGCCAAGCACTGCTGTGTCAAGTCGTGCCACCAGCCGCACGTGGTGAGTAGGCTTATTCTCCTGTGACAGAGGANAATCGGTCCCCGGCAGGTATCGAGGGAGACGAGATACATATATTCTTTAAAAACTCCATGTTGTTGAACTGAGGCAAGAAAATCATACTGATACATAAGCACACACAAAGCTATATCTTTACCTATAACTATGTCCTGTCCATATCAATTTATAGATCCATAGACGTGTACTGGAAATGCAGGTTTTGACCCTCTAAACCAGGAGTCAGCAAACTACGGCCCTTGGGCCAACCAGCCAGCTGCCTGTTTCCCTAAGTAAATTTTCTTATACCGCAGCCACACGCCTTTGCTTATATATCACCCATGGCTGCTTTTGTGGTCTGAGCAGCAGAGCTGCCACAGAGACCATCATGCCCACGGGCCTAAAATATTTACAGTCGGCTCTTTAAGAAAATGTATCCTAACTCCTGAGCTAAAATAAACTAAGGGCCAAGGACAATTGAACTCCATCAGTATCACTGAAAATGTGTTAACGTGTAGAATACAGTGCAGAACAAAATATTTAAAGCTGAAAAGGGACTTAGTCTCAAAAACACCTCTGTTGAGTTGGATTCCAGAATATTTAGCACAAAAAGAGGCATAAAATAGGGGGAGGAAAAGAAATACAAATTTAGGGAAAATACAAAATATGGATAAAAATTAGTACAGGGTGTGCAGTTTAAGCTTCTCTACTTTCACAGTGAATCTGCCTTCGAAAACATCTATTTAAGTTTCGTGGTATGTTACCATTCATTTCTTCTCAAGTGTTCTGTCTTCTCATTGGTGGATTTTAAACAAGTCAACAGCCCTGTTTGAACTCACTGTTGCTGCCCCAGGAGCATATCTGTCGATGGTACTGTGTTACTTTAGGTTGGGAGGAAAACTGGTCCATGACCTGACCAAGGGTCAAGGGGACCTCCTGTCAGGGAACAGCTGGGACCCTGGGGTGGGACACATGAGGGTCTCAAGTCCAGCCTCATCACTGGGCTTCTGATTCCTCATCTGTAGAATCGGAATGAATGCCCACCTACGACGAGGATTCAACGAGATAAGAGATATGTAATACTTATAGGCAGGCAGTAGGCACTCAGAATTGATACTTTCCTTCCAATTTGCCCAGTTACAAAATATTTATAATTGGGAGCATAAATTTGGGAATCAGGCATGGAATAAATTAAAATTTTGACTACACTATTTACTGCTGTGTGGCTTTGGGTAAGTAACTTAACCTCTCTGATCCTCCAATCCCTTGCATTCACTGTGGGGATAACTATTCAACCTCACAGAATTGCTGTGAGGACTACATGTGTCTCAGTTTCTCCATCTGTAAAACGGGGATAATAAAATGCTTAGGCGAGTGCTTGCTAAATGTTAACAATTATTATTATTAATAAGACTTATTTTGTATTATTCCATGTAACACAGCACCTGGGACATTTATAATTTCTCAATCACTGAAAGCAACTGTCGCTATTGCAATACATTTGGAATTCATCAAACACATATCATCTTTGGGTAACTCTACCAAGAAATGCTATAACATTTCATTATCTCTCAGACACAATCGTCAGACATTATAACTGTATAAACTACTAAGAAAGGGAAACCGCCAATTAAATTATTATAGTCATTGATGGTATTTCACATTCATTCTCATTTTAGAGATGTTAAAATGGGGGAAGTATGCATTTAGCATTGATGAACCAGAGGTAGGTAAAGACGTATAACCAAGTCTTTTAGGACAAACTCTGTAATGGGACAAGATGTTAGGACATGACTCCGGGTGTGTCTGGAGGCAGAGCCTTCGTCCCCAGCATCAGGANCACCACCAGATGGAGAATGAAGTGGAAGCAGGCAGAGGCCCTGGGGGGGAGGACTTGCGAGTTTTATGTAGAAATGGGATTTTGTACTTGGCCTTGAACAAAGTTAGAGAGCCTCAGGGTTCGGGGAGAAAAGGTTTTAGAATGGAACATGGCTTTGTGAACGTTCAGAGGATTGGGAAGCTGTATTTTATCGTTAACTACCGTGTCCTGGTTTTTGCTCTGACTTGGTTGATGTCTGTCTCCACTCTGGAATAACAATGCTATTCTCCACTCCACCTGTGCACATGGCAGACCTGACCAGTTGATCCAGACATTCTCTCAGGTCTGGACTTGGTCAGAGACTCCAGGAAGCCAAAACCAGTTGGGCAGAATGACGCCCACAGGCAGCCTCCTGGCCTTTGCCGTGAAAGTCCAACCAGAGGCGATTCCCCAGAAACGCAGCACCGCAGCGGGTCCACCATCTTACCAGTAACAGAAGCCAGTCTCCCGAGACAGTCTCATACTCCTTGAACGTGGTCAGGACAGCCAGAATCAAGCACCCCAGGACGATGAGGAACCTGGAGGCGAAGGAAGAAGACTAATGAAGCGTCGAGTCCTGGCTTGCTCCAAGGCTAGACAGGGAAAGGCAGCGAGGGATGAAGCTACAACCTCCATCAGACATGGGCACGTGCTGTGTTAACCCATTTAACCTCATAACCAACCTGTGAGGCAGGCAGGAATTAATATTCCAGTTAAAGAAAACAAGGCTGAGAGAGGTTAGGCACTGTGCATACTTCTGCTGTGGCAGCTAGTTAGTAGAGTGAGTGAATGAGTTAGTTAGTTAGTTAGTTAGAATTCAAACTAGATCATTTGGTCCCAACCCTGGGGAACACAGACGCCCAGAAGACCAAAAGTTACCACAAGCTTTAGTAAATCAACAGGAATGTGAATAAATTAATAACGTGTCCTGCACATATAGGACTGTGATTTTCAAATATGTGAAAATATTCTTAGTGTAAAGGAAACACAAAATCATTCCAAAGAGTAATAAATTCAGGGAAGGCCTCTATCACCATGTCTTA